TGGTATCAAACTGTCTAACTGACATACCATTTAGTGATCTATACTGTCTTTTAGGGGTACTTACTATTTTTTCTGCAGTGTGGAACAGACTCTGCTATTTTTTATTTTATTTTATGTTGTGTCCATGTGTATATAGTACTATTAGTTGTGTGTTGTAGTTGGTCTCTTCTGTCCAATGAGACTTTTTAGAGATTTAGGTTTTTATTAAAAGTTATGTTTTATCTCATAAATATTTTTCTTTAGTATTCCATTGTTACAGAATATTGCATTCTTCGCCTCTTTTCACTCTTATATTTAAAGAACTTTTGTACAATAGTTGTTATATAGCTATATATATAGGAAAAAAATACATGAATTTAAAAAGATGTTTAAAATATATAAATGCATATTTGAAAATTACAATAACTATTCTTAGGCCAATAAAATTTAAATTTATTTGAATAACTATTTTATAATTCACTTTTAAAATCTGCTTAAAGGACCACTATAGTGCCAGGAAAACATACTCGTTTTCCTGACACTATAGTGCCCTGAGGGTGCCCCCACCCTCAGGGACCCCCTCCAGCCGGGCTGGATGGCGAGGAAAGGGTTCAAACTTACATTTATTTCAAGCGCCGGGCGGGGAGCTCTCCTCCTCCTCTCCACCTCCTCTCCTCCCCTTTGGCTGAATGCGCATGCGCGGCAGGAGCTGCGCGCGCATTCAGCCAGTCTCATAGGAAAGCATTCATAATGCTTTCCTATGGACGCTGGTGTCTTCTCACTGTGATTTTCACAGTGAGAAGCACGCAAACGCCTCTAGCGGCTGTCAATGAGACAGCCACTAGAGGCTTTAGAGGCTGGATTAACCCATTTATAAACATCGCAGTTTCTCTGAAACTGCTATGTTTATAAAAAAAAGGGTTAATCCTAGAGGGACCTGGCACCCAGACCACATCATTAAGCTGAAGTGGTCTGGGTGCCTAGAGTGGTCCTTTAATTTAAATCTTTATTGAGTCCTCCATTGCATAACTGTAGAAAAAGTACTTGTTTTTATAATATGGTATATATTATAATTATTGTCTGTGTCAGTTACAAACATCAGTACGCATCAGACTTATATTTTCTTTAGCTTTATACTAACAGTTACTAATATTTAAAAAAAACAACAAAGGATGTTGCAGGATGGTGGATATTCAACAGCAAATGGTAATTGCTGCATTCAAGAAGGGAGAGAGATAGAGTTTTTTCCTTAAAATCAGAGTTCTAAAGTTCTAAACCTACCACCAACACTCTAGTTAAATAAAGGATGTATGTGACGAAACCTTTCTTGGTGTAGTTACACCATTTAAATAAGAACATTTGTATGATTCCTATTGGTTTAGAACCACATTCCAGACAAAGAAATCCTTGTGACTTCTTGATGCCATCTGTTACCTTTGCCCAATCTAAACACAAATCTAATGAGAATAGAATATGCATCATTCTACAATAACGTCTCCACATTATGAATTCAAAACAAGTCTCTTTGTCTCAATTTAATTAATCTATCTCCTCCCCTTGTTGTATGTGGCACCTGCTCAATTCCCTTAAAGACTAGACCATTGGGCGTCACTTGATGACATTCAGCAAAGTGAACTGGGACACTATGTTGCATTGTCTTATTTAGAATACCTCTAGTGTGTTCCAAAAATCTAACATTTAGTGATCTACATGTCCATCCCACGTATTTGTCATGGGGCATTCAAGCAAATATATTACATATCTGTTATCACAATTTATAAATGTGTCTATATTATAATCTTTGGCTCCCTTAATATGATTGGATTCAATATTTTCTTATAGACATATTGGCTCATTTTACAGCCTTTTCTACCACAAGGGTAATACCCGAAACTAAGGTCCTCCAAGGTGGATTTATCAGAGTTCTGTGGACTTTCGAGATATGAAAAAAAATCAGCACCACTGGAGTTCTATTAATCAGAAATCCATTCTTATTAATAATGCCCTTTCCTTTTGCTGCAAAAATTATATTTTTTTAATTGTTGTATATATATTTCAGTAGGATCTTTTTCTAGTTTAGTGTATGTATTTTGTTATCCATCAATAGTGTCATAGCTTCATTAATATACACTTTTCTACTTTGCATGTGCATTGCTCCTCCCTTGTCAGCCTCCCTTAATACCATGACAATTGCCTTTGCTCCCTAATTTAAAATTCACACATGGAATTTTCTTTCAGTTTGTATGGGGTTTTCTGGATTGATATTTGAGATACTGTAGGCTTGTTTCCTTGCTTCTTATAACTATTTACCTACAAGATAATAATCACTATATGGTTGTCTCTGTCATTAACAATTACCATCTGCTTCCACTATGTGAAAATTAACATTTAACAACTGCTAATTATTGGCTGCCAAAAGGTTTAACGTCTTTCGCAGGCATCTGTAGGAAATGCTAAACACTACGTAACACATGGTTCTCATGCTAGACTGTAACAATTACTGTCTGTTGCAATTCGACTAAAAATGGCATTCGCTTTATCTAAGTGTAAAGAGAGAAAGACAAGTTAATAAGTGCTTACTCTCAATACATTCTATATAAAAAAAACAACAAAAAAACATTTATTCTTAATTTGAGGAGGATGAGCACTTAGAATGTATTACTCTGTACTTTCTCCAGTGTTCGCACATCCTATATTTTAATGGATGACAGGTTCCGTACACTCCTTTATGCTAACACTCGCAGTGGCGACTCCAGGATTCATACTTAGGGGGGGCACAAAAGGGGCCAGGGACAAAAGTAGTGGGGCAGTTATAAAACGTGTGTATGTATATATATGTTTATATATATATATATATATATATATATATATACACACACACACACACAGGGCTCGACAAATTCCAGGCGCCAGGTCGCCATGGCGACTAGACATTTCACCCTGGCACCTGGCATTTGTCAGCCCTTTGCTAAGCCGCACAGGAAACATTAAAATCGGCTGCCGCGGGGAGCATGGAGGTGTCACGTGAGAGAGCAGTAACCTTCCTGCAGTTCTGCTCTGCTCCCTTGCACGCTGTTTAGTCACATGACGTCACTCCGGCCCCCGGCATCACTACAGAGAGTGCACAGAGGAGCAGAGAGAAACTGCAAGAAGACCCTGGATGAGACACACTGGATGCCAGGGAAAGATCCACTCAGCTCTCCCAAAGATAGGGAGGCTGGGTGGATTTAAATTAAAAGAAAAATTGTAATTTGTTAGTGTGTGAGAAAATATGTGTGTGTGTGTATGTGTGCGCGCTGAAAGGGCCTGTAAAGTGTGTGCGTGTGCATCTAGGGGTGTGAGTGTATGTGTATTGGGATTGCATTGTGTGCTTATCAAGGAGCTGTAGTTATTATATATATATATATATATATAAATATATATATATATATATATATAGATATATGAGCTTTGGTGTGTAATGGGGTGGAGCATGTATGTATGTATGTGTGTGTGGGGGTGAAGGTATGTGGGATAGAACTGTGTATGTCGGTGAAGAGATGATGTGTGTGAGGGGTGCACTGTGTGTGGATGCAAAGGTGTACTTTGTGTTGGTGGGAGTGTACTGTATTTGGGGGATTTACTGTCTGTGAGGGTGTACTGTGTTCAGGGGATGTAGAGAGTGGCATAGGGAAGAGCTTTACAATTTTTACTTTAAAAATTGTTTACAAAAAAACAAACAAAAGTATATTCCCCTTTCCCTCATCTTACCTTGCAGGGAGGGGATGGCACAATCAGATCCATGGTGGTTGAGAAGGCTGCCTGTCCATCGGGTACAGGGAAGGTCATGAGATGAGAGGTATCTCTCTTGGAGCTCAAGCACTTACAGAGAGTGACCGATACAAACCCAGACTGACCCATACAAACCCACAGAGTGACCCATACACAGACAGACCCACACGCACACACACACACCCACACACAGACTGCTCCCCCACACAGACTGACCCATACATACACAGACTGACCCCCCACACACAGATTGACCCATACATACACACAAAGGCTGACCCCCCCACACAGACTGACCCACCCCACACAGACTGACCCATACACACACACAAAGACTGACCCCCCCACACAGACTGACCCACCCCACACAGACTGACCCATACACACACAGACTGACCCCCACACACACTCACAGACTGACCCATACACGCACAGACTGACCCCCACACACACTCACAGACTGACCCATACACACACAGACTGACCTCCACACACAC